CCCCCTCTTCCTCCTTCCTCCTCCCCCTCCTCTCCCTCCTTCCTCCACCTCCTCTCTCACATGATGGTTGGCAATTTTTCTTCCCCAACTCGCACTTCTTTTTTTGGTATTTCTTTCGTTTCCTCTACGTCTCGTTTCTTTTTCGTGATTCTGAAATCCACAATTTCCATGCTCAAGACAAGTAACAAAAAGAAAAACTTTTTGCGTGTTCCAAACAAAAGAAGGAAAAAAAACGTTTTGTATGTTCCAAACAAAAGGAGGAAAAAAAACGTTTTGCATGTTCCAAACAAAAGGAGGAAAAAAACGGTTTGCATGTTCCAAACAAAGGGAGGGAAAAAACGTTTTGCGTGCTCCCCTTCAATATTTCGGCCTTCTACTGTTGTTATGATTTATCACCTGACAAGCTATATTGGGTTGCTACCGTCTTCACCCGAATAGAACGCTGGGTCAATTGTACCTGTGTATCTTGACTGAAATTGCACCAAACACCGGATATAATGGCCGGGCGTTCTATACGGGTTAAGACGGTAGCGGGTTATTATGATTCATCAGATGTGATCATGTAATGATTTAGTAATCATGGTGATAAGTGATTTACGGCCTTTTGATTGGAATCCCCCTCTTGACGACGAGCGATTTACGGTATCTCACCCTCTTGACGACGAGCGATTTACGGTATCACCCTCTTGACGACGAGATATTTACGGTATCACCCTCTTGACGACGTGCGATTTACGGTATTACCCTCTTGACGACGAGCGATTTACGGTACCACCCTCTTGACGACGAGCGATTTACGGTATTACCTTCTTGACGACGAGCGATTTACGGTGAGTACTTGCCAACTTGCAAGCTATGTATCCGCCTCGCGATCGATTCGATTCGTTCGGGCGAGCAAATGATTTGACCATCGGACACGTCGATGTAATCAACGTGCCATTTAATGAGCACATCTTCCGGCGATTGAGTGATTAATTCACGTGGAGGTAATCGAGACACGTGGAGGTTAAAGCGTGTAATTGAGCCCACGTGGAGGTAATCTAGACACGTGGAGGTAACAGCGCGTGTAATTGAGTGAGTACATCAGCATCTGGCCATAACAGGATAAGGGCGTTTGATCAGCTGACACGTGGCTTAAATTATCTTGAAATATCGTAATTGAATCCATATGACGAGGATGGCATACGCAAGCATGGCCTCTACACCCATGAACTGTCGAAATATGAATCAGACTCAAGTTCTGATCCAGATACACAATCAGATGCGCAGAATAACACAATTCTGAATTACCTTGGGGGGGGCGGTCAGCTTCAATGATGATGATATCAAAAGGCCGTCCTCTAGGCTGCCAGAGTGGCCCGGGGTCACTTGCCCGGCCAGGCCAAAAAAAAAAAGAAAAAAAGAAGGAAATTGAGGCAAATTCTTTACCCAATTTTTGTTTTTTCCTTCTTTTTTTCGTTTTTTTTTTGGCCTGGCCGGGCAAGTGACCCCGGGCCACTCTGGCAGCCTAGGCGACAGCCTTTTGATATCATCATCATTGAAGCTGATCGAAATTCTTTACCCTTTTTTTTTTTCCCTTCTTTTTTTCTTTTTTTTTTTGGCCCGGCCGGGCAAGAGACCCCGGGCCACTCTGGTAGCCTAGAGGACGGCCTTTTGATATCATCATCATTGAAGCTGACCAAGGCAAATTCTTACCCAATTTTTTTTTCCCTTCTTT